ATAACTCTTATCAATTACACACGCCACAGAGTGATTCAATACGATAGGCATGAGGTCAGATCAACATTGCTTCTGTTTAACAGATCTGTATTTAAATGAGTATCATGTGTTTTTGAAAGACATCTTATAATATCAACACCAAACGAAAAGGTCTGTTTGGTATTATAGCAGTTGTATGGTCAGCAACAGTAAAGACAAGATATTTAAGGATGAAAAAAACCCTTCTATTTCGGTATAGACTCTTATACTGTTGTCAAGCACTCCCCTTTTGCTTGACAACTGACCCGTGAAGATTCTGGAGTAGAAAAGGTCTTCAGCAACCCATGCTTGCCGTAAAAGGTGACTATGCTTGTCATAAAAGGCAACTAACATGATCGGGGGGTCAGGCTCGCTGACTTGGTTGATGCATGTCATCGATCCCAATTGTGTGGACCGATGCTCATGATATCAATCACTGGATTGTCTGGTCCAGACTCGATTATTTACAGACCGCTGTCATATAGCTGGAATATTGCTGAGTGCAGCGTTAAACAACAAACCAACCAACCAACTTGCTTGACAATTGGCATAATGATCTATACTGAATCATTGCATCATAATAGAACAAGGAAGTTGTCCTCAATAAAATATCTTGTCTTTACTGAAACAAAAAAAGGAGACAAACTAACTTAAAAAACAAAGTGGTATTTTTTCAGTTATTTGAATCATGATATCAGGGTGAAGTTGTAAATATTTAGGTAGTCAACAGTTTAAAGATCAAACGAAACATGAGTGAGTATGTGTTTTAGCAATATTTCAGCAATATCAAGGCAGGGGACATCAGAGATGGGCTTCACACATGACCCACATCGGGAATCGAACCCAGATTTTCGGTATGACGAGCGAATGCTTTAACCACTAGGCTACCCAACAACCCAATTGGAATCTGAGATCAGGAATACTGTACCAGGAGTTAAGGTGCCGTACTTCTAACGTCGGAGGAGGCAAGATTGTTGCACTATTGTGTGCATACACTTTACAAGATTTATCCTCTCATATCAAATTCATCAGAACGGGAACACATTATTGGATAAATAAAATCTTGGTTCAATTAACAACAGCAGTAATTAACAGTGGCAGTAATTGATCAATCCACGAGTACAAGAATGCACTACTACACTAGGTTTTCTGGATCCACTATGGGTAACTATGGTAACTGATTTGAAGTAATATATAGTCTAACAGTAATGAATCTACTTACACCTTGTGGTTATACACGGGAAACCCTGAGACAAAACATGAATCTATGATTCCAACAAACAAAATCCTGGCACATTTATGGGACATAACTCTTTACAGAGATTATTGAGCTTTAGACCACTGTGCCATCATCTCAAAGTTGTCACCAGAAAACTTGCCCCACCCAGTACTAATCTAGTCGCTGTGACCCCTACTTGATTTCGAGTGGCCTGCCAATCAAACTTCATGTGCTCATAAAGACGCAATACCCATAACTTCTATATGGTCAATATTTGTTCTAGTTAGCATCAACAAACATATTAACAGCAGGGCAGACACCAGGTTTACTCCTTGATAAGCTCTACTGCTTGTTATTACCTACCCAGTGAGACCCATGAAGATCTGGGTTAGAAATGGTCTTCAGCCAACCATGCTTGTCATAAGAGGTAACTAACGGGATTAGGTGGTCAGGCTCACTGACTTGGTTCATGCATGTCATCGTATCCCAATTGCGTAGATCAATACTCATGATGTCAATCACTGGACTGTCGGGTCCAGATTCCATTATTTACAGACCGCCGTCATATAGCTGGAATATAGCTGAGTATCCAGTGGTAGCTTGTTATCACCTTCCAACTGCATGTTATTACCTAGCAACTGCTTGTTATTACCTACCCAATGGTTTGTTATTGCCAAGCAACTACTTCTTATTACCTACAAAATGCTTGTTATCAATTACCTAATGGCTTGTTATTACCTAGCAACTGCTTGTTATTACCTGCCCAATGGCTTGTTATTACCTATTCAACATCTTGTTATTACCTGCCCACTGATTGTTATTACCCACTAACTGCTTGTTATTACCCACCAACTGCTTGTTATTACTAACCCAAAGGCCTGTTACTACCTACCCAACTACTTGTTATTACCTACCCAACTACTTGTTATTACCTACCCAACTACTTGTTATTACCTATCAACTGCTTGTTTTTAACTTCCAACTGCTTGCTATTACCTATCCAACTGCTTGTTATTATTACCTGCCTAACTACTTGTTATTACCTATCAACTGCTTGTTTTTAACTTCCAACTGCTTGTTATTACCTATCCAACTGCTTGTTATTACCTGCCTAACTGCTTGTTATAACCTACTAACTGCTTGTTATAACCTACCAACTGCTTGTTATAACCTTCCTAACTGCTTGTTTTTAACTTCCAACTGCTTGCTATTACCTATCCAACAGCTTGTTATTACCTGCCTAACTGCTTGTTATAAACTACCAATTGCTTGTTATAACCTACTAACTGCTTGTTATAACCTACCAACTGCTTGTTATAACCTACTAACTACTTGTTATTACCTGCCTAACTGCTTGTTATAACCTACTAACTGCTGTTATTACCTTTCCAACTGTTTGAGATTACCTGCCCAATGGCTTGTTATTACCTTCCTAACTCCTATTTATTACCTAACTGCTTGTTATTACCTATCCAATGGCTTGTAATAACCTACCCCCAAAATTATTATGCCAATCAAAGCTCTCTTGGCAAAAATAAGAGACGTAAAACTTCTCACTGAAACCATTGACAATTGGAAGCAAACACCCCACATACATAACTCCTTCAAGCAACATTTTGCATGTATTACAAATTGGTCTGCACTGAGGTTTGGCGGGTCAGACTGGGTTGACCTCTGATGTGGGTGCACCACGATTTAATTCTTCATTCCAACCTTGGAAGCTGGATAAGTGTGATAACCATTGCAACTCTAAACAGATGTGTACACAGAGAGCATGTTCAGTACATATCCTATTGAATATATACATAACAGTGTCGATGAAGATATATTGATAAAGCTTAATAAACATTTTACACTGTGACAGTTCAAGGTAAAAAACCTGCAAGGATCAATACTATATGGTGATGTTAAAAGAATAATAAGAGAATATATACATGCAATTCTATTATCACTATCACAGTCTTTTTTAACTTTAACTCTAGTTTGTATTTTACTTATGTTTTATTGTCTGTGAAGTCAACACTGGACTCGACTGGTGTGGTATCTTCTTAAAAGTCTGGACTGGGTTTTCTACTGGTAGGGTGTCCGCTAGCTATTCTAGTCTGGTGTCGACTGATGTAGTACTGCCTAGCTATTTTAGACCATCAAGTCTTTCTCCTTGACCAGACCTTTGAAGAATGACACCAGAACAACTGAGTACATGGAATTGAAAAGTTGGTAGCTGGATCAAACATTTAAAAAAACATGTACTCACTGCACATCAATGATACATTTAAATGATATCTACAGAAATAGCTGATTAATGGCCAAAAATCCAGTATGACATCAGCATCAATGAAATTACTTCATCATTCTGTGAGCACTTGCTGGAGACACCAGAGGTCAGATCATTAACACAAAGTTTCAGTTCTATAGTTTCCTTGTAGTTTCTGGGTAGATGTCGAAAAGTGAAGTTAATGATGGACGGGAGATGGACAACATACCATGACATAAGCTCACTAAACTTTCAGGCAGATGATCAAAAGTACTGTGTGCAAAAAGTATAGTTGATGGACGACTCAAACAAGATGCATGTGTATCAGGATGGCCGGGACCATCCACAGCTTGAATGTTATATGACTATCTGCCGCGATCTTCCAGCACAGATGGTGTCTGTGAAGTGAAGTTCAACCATCCGGACTCACATCTCTTTACTCTTTCTGACTCGATGACAAGATCGAGATGAACGTATCACTTCAGCCAATCAGCACATAGTTGCCAGGGACACATGTTGCCACTGATGGAGGTTGTCACCATTCAGTCAATACCAGTAGCCTCTTGATTAACATTGGTTAGCCAGTCATTCTTGATTATCCAATGTATCATTTACATCTTTCTATAATTAACCTTAGCAGAGTTTCTGTCGCTCATCAGTGTAGTTTGATTGGATGACAATTATTATCGTTATTAAGAATCGGGCTCCAAAGCCATGGTGGTGAATGGTTACAAGGGAGTTAATCATAAACGGATGGAGATATAACACCCTGGACAAAAGAAGATGAACAACTGTCAGATATGATGCCTTTGTTTGCTCGGCCTGTTGAAAACTGTAAATGTACGTTCAGTATCTGACACTAGTGTGAGTTAGAGTCAGTGAGTGAATTGGGGTTCATTGCCACTTTCTTTTCAATCAGGTATTATGAGGCCATAAGGTGACACAGGTTATGTGAAACTCTCAGGCACAAGTTTGATACCATAAGTGTGTTGTATATGGATTGGCATGGATGATACGGGTGGGCATGGATGATATGGATCGGGATGGATGATACGGATGGGCATGGATGATATGGATGGGCATCAATGATATGGATCGGGATGGATGATACGGATGGGCATGGATGATATGTATGGGCATGGGTGATACGGGTGGGCATGGATGATACGGATGGGCAAGGTTGACACGGATGGGCCTGGATGTTTCGGATCGGCATGGATGTTTCAGATCGGCATGGTTGATACAAATGGGCATCGATGATACGGATGGACAAGGATGATATGGATGGGGATAGATGATATGGATGGGCATGGAAGATATAGATGGAAATGGATGATACGAATAGCTAGGATGGGATCGGATGGAAATGGTTTATACAGATGAAAATAGATTTGAAGGGATGTGCACACATAGATTTTGATGGGCATGGATGATATGGATAGCAAGGATGGACACAGGTGGATATGGGTGGATAATGGATAGTCATGGGTGGATATGAAAGAAACATACCTGAAGCAGGAGCCTCTCGTCGCCCCAGATGACCACCTTCGTCCAGTCGATGACTTCAGCGAAGGGTAACTCCCATCCATTACTAAGCAATACTGGAACACAGGCAGCTTGAAGAGCTTCCAAAAACCTGAAACACAACAAACATTGTTGTCAACTCCTACTATCAGCACTGAGTGAGTGAGTGAGTGAGTGAGTGAGTGAGTGAGTGAGTGAGTGAGTGAGTGAGTGAGTGAGTGAGTGAGTGAGTGAGTGAGTGAGGTGTAGTGCAAGCATGTCGTTTCAATTTTTGGGAGTACACAGTTCCACGGACATTTGCATGACCAACGAACACCATAATTCTCCAGACATCACACACACTAATACAGTTATTTAAAATCAAGTATTGGTGCAGTTAGTGATTTCATCCAATAATGAAAAGAAGACCTGCTTCTTTAAATCTAATTACTAGGTATTCAATACTACTGGACAAATGACAGACAATCCATACACTTTCTACCACAAAAAAAAAGATCACCTCTCTCTTCAACTCCACAAAACATCATCATGGCCAAATCTTATTTTTCTATCAGACAAAACCAATAAACAGGATTCAATTCATCACTGCCTAGATTCGTTCCAATGCACTTATACATCACTTGTTTGAACCAAACTTTCCAGCATCTCACTGAATAAGGTTTTATTTAAAACACAGCTCTAATACATCTTCATTTCAAGATGTGGACGTCGTATCCATTATCTCTAAAAGAATCCTACTTGTGCCACACAGTTGAGGAATCCTTTTCAAAAGCTGACAAAAAGCCTTATCAATCACACTGGCCGCTACCATCGTTCTCTACAGCCAAGCTAAACTAATCTAATAAGGAGAATCACTTAATCAAGGCTATTAGACTCGGGTATATACACGCAGCCATCTCAAGGTGTCGACAATTGTAAGCTGTGACAGGAATATAGTATCTTCGTTATCACAGGTCCACATGGTGTGTGGTTCTGACACTGGACAAGGTTGGTTCAGTCATGTCTGCATGTGGGTACGTTTAATATACATATAAAAGGAAGGCCATGTCTGTGACTCCCTTGATGTTGAACACTCATGAATATTTATTCCGGGGGATGATTTCACTTACGTTAATGTGTGACAAAATGCAGTTGGGATGTCATTATGACGTTATTGATGTTTGTTGCATACACATCAATGGCACATCACCATTGCAACGTTGTTTAGAATTCCCAAATGTATAACAGTGATCATTAGGATGAAAAGCTGGTTAGTGTAAATATTAACAAGTTCGGTATCCAGAGTCCTCACGATAGTTAAATGCATGAAATTAACACATTCTGAATATCAGTCTTTTGATGTTGTTATACACCTCAAACATTTATACAACGGAATGGCAAGATGCATGAATGTCAACAATATCCCAGCTGATATAAGGGTAACGCTATTTTTCAGGGCATTATCATTTGCAGAAGCCCACAGTCTTTTCAACTGCCCTCCTTCTTCGGGCAGTATAGGGCAGTTGAAAAGACCAAGGGCTTCTGCATATGATAATGCCCTGAAAAATAGCGTTATCGTTATTATACCTAAAATGGATGATTATTGTTATCAAATAAAAATAAACAATATCGGTTTTGAAACATTTAGTGCAGTCAACACAAATTTTACTGACCCACTTTTACAAATATGGAAACGTCATTGAACAAACCAGATGACGTCACTATTAAACATGACGTCACCTTTCCTATCCCTGTGACGTCACCTAACAACGGGCTTGATAATGGCCCGTCGTCAAGCAATATGAGGGCATTATCAAGTTACAGTGGCCCGCTCATTTCTGATAACATGCGGGCGGTTTAATGATAATTCTATCCATTTTAGCTATAAAGTAGAGTAAGATACACCCCCACATGACAGTAACAAAAGCCATGGAGCTCAAAATGCATATAAACCGCAATGCTAGAGCATAAACAGTCTCGAGTATCCAATGAAATAGATTCCATTGGGTGTTAAGGGTTGAACAGCAGTGAAACTTATATGAATGGATCACTGAAAATCACTGATGACACCAGGGCCCACTTGCACAAAGCGATCTTAGTGCTAAGACTATCGTAAGCCTATGTTAAAGTATGGGGGCTAAGATCATCTTAGCGCTAAGATCGCTTTGTGCAAATGGCCCCAGGGCCCCAGTCCTCAAAGCGATCTTAGCACTAAGGTGATCGTAAGTCCCATACTTTAGCATAGTCTTACGATCATCGTAGCTCTAAGACCGCATTGAGGAAAAGGGCCCAGGTGTTTATGAAAAGGGAAAGCATGTCCTGCTCTACTGGATGCGCTTGCAACTCCCACAATTTCCACAAAAAAGCATGTGTTTGTTGCCTGACGCTGCATAGCAATGCCAGCCTGGAAACAAACCAGAAAATCAAGTGATGGACCAGAAATCCAGTCTCACAACCGCACATTGACTGATTCTGGTAAAACAGGTATGTCAGACTATTTGGGGCTTTTATACCTGCGGGTAATATAGCAGTTGAAATTAACTGAAAAAGATGTATTTGTTCCATTGCAGTCATCTGTAGAATGTTATTGTCAGGTACGCCTGCACTGATGAACCCTCTGTGTCAGTCAAATCAAACGAAAATCAACTAAAAAAAACCACATCCAAACTATACTTCTCCATTTTTGATAGGGGCATTTTTTATCTCTTCAAACAACACAATGTCAATGTCAAAACTATATTAAAATAGAATGACATATCTGATCATTCCTATCAAAAGTTGAGTAACATGATTCACAGAAAGACCATCATTACATCCCATGAAACTGCCAACTACACTCAAACACTGTTGTGTCGCACTTTGATGTGTCAAACTTATGGCTGTTTCGAAGTAAAACTTCGTCCCTGCATATTCCTTCTTTATTCATATTTCAGTTATTATGTCAAACCTCGGATAACTCGCAGCATGTACATATGTCCCTTCAATTTCGACACAATGACTAAATTATCCCTTCAGCTTTCGAAATATTTTTTTTTCAAATTTTTAAACTTTCCAGACCACACCTACAATTTCAGTAAATCATGTTAAAAACAAAGACTTTGTATTGAATGAGTTGTAACATATCACCACACAAACATCAGGCAGACAAAGCCAACGGTAAAGATGTAACAGAAACCGAGCCCCGAAAGTTTGCTTGTGTCGCCATACAGCGGACATTAGCAGTAGGTGTAGCCACCATCAGCCATCACATACCCGGAACTGTGGAGCCCAGGCCGGCCTGGTTTGTCTGGTGCAGTGAGTCAATATTAACACAGCAAGTCCACGCTACTGTATATGAATGAGTGGGACGAATTCAGGAGAGACTATGGGAGAAATGGGAACGTACATTGTACTGTTTGCAACTTGTCTCATTCAATAGAGGTGATTTACGCATGTCAAAGGATTTTTTAGAAAAGTAGTTGATGTTTTAGGATTAGAAGGGAAGTAGCATGTACAATGTTGACATACCAGAACAGACATGCTGACATGTAGTCTGTGTTCGTCCAATTAAAGAAATGTGTAAACTAGTTCAACATTCTAGAATCATCAGAAGATTCATCCCCTTAGTGGGAAATAATTGATTGTTTTTCTTTATGTTTTGGAAACTTTCCATGAATTGAATTTTACCAAAGTGAAGCCCCTTGTTAATGATTGAGTATGGTTTAACACTGCTTTTGGCAATATGCCCCTGTGCATTTAGCAAGGAATGCTGCTATCCAAAAGGATCTTGGTTAAATATGCAGGACTCGAGACAGTTTTGGAGCCATTGAGTATTTAGTCGTCAATTCCACAGTTTTCTTTGGGTACTAAATATATTTTATAAGTAAGAGGTGACTATGCTTGTCATAAGAGGCTACTAACGGGATCGGGTGGTCAGGCTCGCTGACTTGGTTGATGCATGTCATCATATCCCAATTACTTGGATCGATGCTCATGATGTCAATCTTTGGATTGTCTGGTCCAGACTCGATTACTTACAGACCGCCGTCATTTAGCGGAGTGCTGCATTAAACTATAAACAAACTAACAATCAGTAATTAAACTATCATCTGAAGGAGTGAGTGAGTGAGTGAGTATGGTTTTACGCCGCTTTTAGCACTATTACAGCAATATCACGGGGGGGGGACACCAAAATGGGCTTCACACATTGTACCCATGTCGGGAATCGAACCCGGGATTTCGGCATGACGAGCGAATGCTTTAACCACTAGGCTACCCGACCGCCCCTCATCTTAAGGATGTAATTGAATTTGCTGAGATTGTCCATTGGCTCAGCTATTCCCCCTTCAATCAAATGAACCTGCTCAATTGTACCCATCAGCTTCCTTCTTTATGAGGGATATACAAACAGTAAATACTACCGAGAAGAGCTCCTTTAAAGAACACACATGGTGGGATATCTTATCATTCCTGAGCCTGAAATAACCTGAAATATTCACCTGCAACAAGATTTATTGTCCTATTATGGTGGGAACTCTGATAAGGAACATCGGGTTATCACTTCTGTTATCAGGGTGTAAAGAGAGGCAAGAAATTCACTGGTTGCATAAACTGCTGCATGCCAAATGCCGTAGAGTCATTAGGCAGCTACAGCTTCCTAAGAAATTCAGTGAAAGCAATGTCTGCATGAGAGACTCCCTTTAACAGGCATATTTCCCTCTCCTATATCACAGACCCGGAATCAGGTGTTTTAAGTGTCTAATTGTCCTGTCACATGCTTGAAGACATTTCAAGATGCAACCATGTGTTTTTTCAAACTGGCAGTTTAAAAAAAGCTCGGACAACTGAAACCTAAGATTACGGAAGAGTTTTTTTTCTTTCTGATCTCCCTAAATGTGTATTTTCATTCAATAAAAACATAGCCAGATAGCTAAATCAACAGTGGCGCCCTCAGCATGTTCTAAGGGAGATAAGTGATATATGACGCTCACCACTAAATACACATCAACACTCTTAGCGATTGAGTTACACCCCCAAAGAGGACGACTTTTTGTGTGCAAGAGATGCTTTTTGCCTTAGGGTAGAGAATAAGAATATACATATCTCACCAGAATGTCTACTCATGATGATGATTGAGGTCTACGTGAACAAGTT